AATGTAAACATCATGGATTTTGCATTAGACATACAAATTTTAGATCTAATGTAATAATTTGGTTTACACAAAGCAAATATTTTATCGTTTGTGCAAAATATATGAAGTTTACATTCAAAATATTCCCTGACCTGCAAGGAATCCAGAAATGTCAATTATATTATCCTAACTTTAGTCTGAGTTATTATTTATTACTAAAAATGTAAATTACTATTTTCTCCCAAAGCTTCTCTGGTAGGGAGGGAAGGTGGGGGGTGGGGGGTAGGGAGTGAGGGACCGACCCAGCTAGGGCAGAGTATTTTGATTGACAGATAGTGTCCTTGAAGAATATTTCTTTGTATATTTACTGAAGATATATGTTTTAGCTCATAAAATTCATACAAATTACTCGACCAGAATATAATTTACATTGCTGGAATTCTTACAATATGATGATCATTTTGAATATAAACATCATGGATTTTGCATTAGACATACAAATTTTAGATCTAATGTAATAATTTGGTTTACACAAAGCAAATATTTTATCTTTTGTGCAAAATATATGAAGTTTACATTCAAAATATTCCCTGACCTGCAAGGAATCCAGAAATGTCAATTATATTATCCTAACTTTAGTCTGAGGTATTATTTATTACTAAAAGTTAAAATCTAGTGTTTTCACCCAAACATTTCTCTGGTAGGGAGGGAAGGTGGGGGGTGGGGGGGAGGGTTGGGACCGACCGACCCAGCTGGCGTGAGTGTGAGGAGGGGGGAGGCAAGGTACTTTGATTGACAGATAGTGTCGTGAAGAATATTTTTTTTTTATTAACTGAAGATATTTGTTTTAGCTCATAAAATTCATACAAATTACTCGACCAGAATATAATTTACATTGCTGGAATTCTTACAATATGATGATCATTTTGAATATAAACATCATGGATTTTGCATTAGACATACAAATTTTAGATCTAATGTAATAATTTGGTTTACACAAAGCAAATATTTTATCTTTTGTGCAAAATATATGAAGTTTACATTCAAAATATTCCCTGACCTGCAAGGAATCCAGAAATGTCAATTATATTATCCTAACTTTAGTCTGAGGTATTATTTATTACTAAAAGTTAAAATCTAGTGTTTTCACCCAAACATTTCTCTGGTAGGGAGGGAAGGTGGGGGGTGGGGGGAGGGTTGGGACCGACCGACCCAGCTGGCGTGAGTGTGAGGAGGGGGGAGGCAAGGTGGGGTACTTTGATTGACAGATAGTGTCGTGAAGAATATTTTTTTTTTATTAACTGAAGATATTTGTTTTAGCTCATAAAATTCATACAAATTACTCGACCAGAATATAATTTACATTGCTGGAATTCTTACAATATGATGATCATTTTGAATATAAACATCATGGATTTTGCATTAGACATACAAATTTTAGATCTAATGTAATAATTTGGTTTACACAAAGCAAATATTTTATCGTTTGAGCAAAATATATGAAGTTTACATTCAAAATATTCCCTGACCTGCAAGGAATCCAGAAATGTCAATTATATTATCCTAACTTTAGTCTGAGGTATTATTTATTACTAAACATTAAAATCTAGTGTTTTCACCCAAACATTTCTCAGAGAGGTAGGAGCTAGTGAACTGGGAAGAGGGGAGGGGATTTGAGTCCATTATTTGAATGGACATTAACCTGGTGACTGTATTTATCTTAAATATTAGTTGTGTGAGCATACCATCATAAAATTTAGATGTTATTTTTACTACAACATAGGTATTATGTCGGAAAAAGTGGAGTTTGGGGGTCGAGCCAGTCTCTGTTGGAATTAATCCCATATGTTCTGTTGTTCACTTTACGCGGTTTTCACTTTCCACGGTACCCTGTGGGTTCAATTGACCGCGATTAAATCGGGGTACTACTGTATCTTGATATTATTCTTTCAAGCCAATCTCAACTACTTTTCAATACAGTGAACCCTCACTTTACGCGGTCAATTGAACCCACGGAGGCCCGCGTAAAGTGAACAACATAACATATGGGATTAAATGAAATAGAGACCGGCTGACCCCCAAACTCCACTTTTTCCGACACAATACCTATTTTCTAGTAAAAATAACATCTTAATTTTATGATGGTACATGCACACAATTAATACTTGAGAAATAGAGAAATACAGTCGCCAAGTTAATGTCCATTCAAATAATGGACTCAACTCCCTCCCCCTCTTCTCACACTCCTGGCTCTTCCCTCTCTGAGAAATGTTTGGGGGAAAAACCACTAGATTTTAAGGTATAGAAATAAATAATACCTCAAACTAAAGTTAGGATGATATAATTGACATTGCTGGATTCCTTGTAATACCAGGAATATTTTGAATATAAATGTCATATATTTTGCACAAAAGCTAACATATTTAATCAGAGTAAACAAAATACTTACAGTAGATCTAAAATTTGTATGTCTAATGCAAAATCTATGATGTTTATATTCAAAATGATCATCAAATTGTAAGAATTCCAGCACTGTAAATTATATTCTGGCCGGGTAATTTGTATGAATTTCATGAGCTAAATTAAAAAAATTATACTTCACCCGCGTATATGAGTAGATGCACCGCGTAAAGTGGGAATTCCGGTTCTGGGAGGTTCTGGCAGGGTACCGCGTAAATGTAGAAACGCGTAAAGTGAAACGGCGTAAAGCGAGGGTTCACTGTATATATTTTGAGAAAGGTGAAATAAACAAGATGAAACAGAAGCAGTAGGAAAGATTGATATGTAGCTGTTAATATGAACTTTTTCAAAATCCTTCATGAAATATTCAGGATTCAATCAAGGAAGTAGTTCTAGTAGCTTTGTGAATAGTCAAGTGTGCGTTTCTTGTGTCTTGTTAGGAAGAAGTGCAAATTATCTTGGAACACTGAATGTCCCTACCTGAACATGAAAGTCATATAGTACAGTACAGTACAACTGATTTAAAATATTTTGATAGCATTTAAAAGCTTCATCACCTGCCCAATGTTTTACATGCACCAAGTCATCCAGACCCTCAACCGTTGCAAATACGAGTATAATCTGTTTATGTCATTCTGACCACTATCAAACTGCAGAAATAGTTTGCCATTATCTAGGAATCTGTATTCACTGGGAATTTTATAGCCAGACCGATTTTGGAGAATTGGAGGGGCACTCACTTTTGCTTGATGCCAGTTCCTTATATTTTGACTTCGACATGAAGTGGATAGTAGCTCTGCTATTTCATTTTCATCCAAGCTTGCATTAGCATCGGCAATAAGTGTACAAGAAGATTCTTGGGAAGATATTGCTGAAGCCTTCAGGTCAGCTAAACTTTTATGAACTTTAGGTTTAGCAACAGAAAAACTATAATAATTTTCACCAACACATTTAATTATACCATAATCCTCATCATGCGTCAAAGTGTGGACTTGAACTTTGCAAGACTTCATTTCACATTTCCAACAAATGTTAGAGCCATCGGTATTTCTTTTTTGTGTCTCGTATACAGTATGTAATACATATATTCTACAAGTTCTTCCTTTCCCGAGTGCTGTTAATGATGTGAGGCATGGCCATAAGGGTGGACAAAGGAGTTCTACTGAACCCTCACCTGTTAGCAACAGTTTAACAACTGAATGGGTTAGGCCTCTTCTGGTGGTGCCATCTTCTGGATGTCTAAAATTCTAAAATTTAAACTAGATTGCAAAACTACTTAAATTAAATCTTTAATTTTTAAATACTAAATTCAAACTATATTTACAGCATATTAGATGTATTACTTTTATAATTATCTATTGTATCTGAGTGGATTATCATAACTCTGGCAGCTACTACTGGCAGCAATTATGGAACACTGAAACATATTTTAATGTTAATTTTTAATATTCATAAATTTTTTAATGTGTGAAATTACCTGGAACCCTTTGGTTATACAGTACAGGTGCTCCTCTACTTACGAACTAGTTATACCTGTATTCCTGAGGCTTGTTTGCAAGTCCAACTTTACTCTTGTAGATACCAAACATATTGTAAAAAATGAAAAGATTATGGATATTTAGTACAGCTATACCCTTTAATACAGCCTTAAAACCTGACTCACTCTTCTCCTCTTAGGTAATGTTTGTTCTCTCTGGAATTTTCTTCAAAATAATCCAGTCTCATCCACATTAAACACCTGTTCTGTCAGGTAACCCCCCACAGTGATGATGTTTGTATCTCTGAAAGTTTGTAAGTTGAACGTTCTTAAGTAGAGGAGCACCTGTACACATAAGGGCAGAGGACAAAAGTATAAGAGCTGGGCCTATTAGAGTACAGCCCCCCCACCCAAAGTTGCGGGGGTTAGGTTCTCAAAATGGCCACGAATCGCCAAATCTGCTAATAACATTTGCGGGGAGGGGACATTTTTCTTGTGTACAAAGAAATTTATATTCCCTTTAATGTATGTGTTTGCCCTGAGGACAATTATTTTTTATTTTACCTGTATTGGATATACAGTATGTGTGTGTGTCTACACACACACACACACATACAGCCACTCCTTGACTTACGACGGGGTTAGGGACCCAAATCCAGGTCGTAAATCTAAAATGTGAAGATAATACATAAGAAAATCTAAAATGGGTGTCTCTTTTTCTTTTCAGCACAACAAAACTCTCACTTTTAAGCATGCCAGTCATTTTAAAGGGAATTAGAAACAAAAATTTTGTCAGTACACAGCGCAATCACTAACGACGGGACTCGAAAATACGTAATTTGAAAAAATTTGGGTATGACTGGGGCGGTCGTATGTCCGAGTGGTCGTAAGTCGAGTAGATCGTAAATCGAGGAGTAGCTGTATTTACAATACAGGTAAAGGAAATTATGGTCTCAAGAAAAAATGGCTCCCTGTCCCAGCTACGAAAATGCCGGCAACTTTAAAACTACCCACGGACATTCTTGGGTACATCCAGGGTGTCATCCGCGAATAATAGAGGACCGCGAAACAAAAATCTGCAAACTTGGGGGGGGGGGGGGCTGTACATTCATATTTACTTTGTACGTCTGGCAGCTGAAATTGTCAGTTATCCCAGAGCACACACACTTTTGGATGTAGCACATGTCTTTGTCTTAATTTAATCTGCTTTTTGGGTATTACTTATTGTTATTAAACTGATTTAATCTGATATGTGTATCTTTTAATGAAAATTTTTTGTCATAAAAAATTTGATATCTTGAAAATCTAGATAATATTTTTCATTTTAAACTACTTTTACTTATTATAGAGTAACTAATTTTCTTCATTTTGGTCAAAATAATTTTTTTATGTTGGAATGTATTTTATCGGTAAAAGTGAAAGCACTTTTGAAGGATTGTGACTCGGGACAAGTTTTAAGTACTGTATAGTAATAACTGTTTCTAAAGGCAACGGGACACTGGGCACTTTTCCTCCCAGCATGTTTGGTAAACGCGGTCCAGCCAGCAAAACAAAGAGACATTTGCGTCACACTGGGATGTTTTGTTGGCGCATCTGCCCAATGCAATGAAAACAACAACAAAGCGTCTAGACGAGGTTTGCCATGGAATCCATTACTACAGTTGAAGCCTTGCAGGATTGTGCTATAGTTCTTCAATTGCTGAAGCAAATGAGGCATCTGCAAAAAAAGAAAAAAAAAAGACAATGGCTGCGTTGTGAAGTTTCTTTATAAGTGGCAGTGGCTGGCTGGTCAAGGAAGACCATGAATAATGACAATAAAGCTAAAGAAGTTTTAAAGTGACAAATACTGTAAATAGAAACATGTAACCATTTTGTTATAGTTTAAATTATTATTGTTTCATGATTTAGTTAAATTTTTATTTGAATATTCAACACCTAATATGAAGCTCATTTGAGCACTAACCCATCCAGCAAATCTCGCTTCCAAACCGTTGTCCAATTCTCACAATAGCCAAAATCCTGCTGCTTTCAGGACAGTCAGGCCAGCGGCCACCAAAACGGGCAACATGTTTGGAGGAAAGTGCCCAGTGTACTTCCACCTTAAGACAGTACAAAATCATATAGTGTTTGATATGAAGGATGAAAATAAGCAAATGGGTTTAAATAGATTAGAGATGGAAAAGGACCTGGGCTTGGTAATGATAAAAAAAATTTTGTTTGAGGAACAAATACAGTACAGTGGCCCCTCGGTTAACGAAATTTCGGTTAACAAATTACCTTCCATAAGAATCTTCAATTCGGTTAACGAAATTCTTACGAAAACATGTCAACATGTTTTGGCTTGCTCACCAGCTGGAAGATTAGCCCGCCAATACAGTAATCGGTTCTAGGGCTTATATTCGTTTCCATTGCAGTAAATATCAAGAAGGTTGTGTTATTCAATATTTTTCCAAGTTTTATATTAAAATTATTAGTCGTTTTAACACTTATTTAACATAATTGCAGTACAGGGAACTAGTTTTTGGTGTGCCCATCAGCCACTTCCCTCACCCACCAAGGTGTCAGTTTGTGTGTCTGTTCGGTGGAGGAAACATCTTGCTTGTGGGTCTCTTGAACACAGTATTTTTACGTTTTTACAGTACAATTATTGGTCTTTCTGAAATTTATTTAACATATTGACAATATATAGTGCAGTGCAGTGTTGATTTAAAGAAAATATTCTTGAATTACACCTAGTGAACTTAAAATTTTATTGGTGAAATGACAGAATTAAGCATGGGGTGATTTCTCTTCCATCCCCACTTCCTTCTCTTCTCCCTTCTCTTCCACCCCCACTTCTAATTCCCATCATCATTATCAACCAGTGGCCTTCTACATACACACCTCAAAGTAAGTGTACTTTACTGCATTTTTTTTTACTTTGTATGTATGTACTTTTCGGTGAGCTGGAACCAATTACCCAATATCCCATTGAAACAATGGATTCGGTTAACAACATTTTTGATTAACGAACGACCTTCTGGAACGAATTGTGTTCGTTAACCAAGGGACCACTGTACACAATGAACCAGACAAGATGAACCCACTTAGAAGACCTAATCCAAACAACATTCCCACTGTGCTGGGCTAAAAACATCTCACAGTGACTATTGAAACCTGCATAAACTTAAAACTGGATATGGTGGATGGTTAAACAGTGTTCTGTGTAATATATAAAATTTTGATACTGTACTCAAAATGAGGGTTGACAAGAATTTCTGTACAGTACAGTACAGTAATCTTGTTAGTCGGAATAATCGGTGCACAGTGGTTCTGGGTTTGAGAGATTTCTAGGCATGGATACAAATTTTCTCATCCCTGGAATTTTTCCAGGTACAGAGGGTCTTCATTATACATTGGGAATGTGTTCCAGAGATATGTGACTTACAGTGAAAAGATTTATAGTGAGGAAATTTTCCCCATAAGAATTAATTTACTCTTATTAAGGGTGCTATATATGCATTCCAACATGTACAGTAATACCCCTTGAAAGCTTAGGATGGGTTCCTAGAGAGAGAGATTTCAGCAAATCAGTTACAATGGCATCATTATAACATAATATACTGTATACTATTTGTTATGGAGATTCATTACTAACTACACTACAGTATTTATTACTTTTGAGTGATACACGATGGTTTGATTTGGCTACTTGTACAATAAGACAACTGATTTATAAATAAAGTACTGTATGGTATATGCAGATGCATAATACACAAGTACAATATTATTTATTGTGCTGAAGACAGATTTTGTGGTAAGCACGATGACATGGTGAAGAACGGTGTGGGCAATCAGCTTTTTGCGCTGTTGCTATAGAAACAAAGCAGCTGAGAATTTAAAATGATACAATAACTCAACTAGGGTTGAGTGTGGTCTTTTTTTGTGGAGGTGAATTGATTATTTTACAATTATTTTTTATTAACCCGACACCAAATGAACCTAAACAATACTGTATGGGAATTATGGTGAAATTGCAAACGGGGTCCCCAGGTTACGAACGGGTTCCGTTCCTGAGGACGTTCTTAAGTCAGAACACATGTTAGGTGCATACCGTACTTACAGAACGATGTTTAAAATCCCATTATATCATCGCCTAAGTCCTTATACAGTCAGTCCTCGACTTACAACGGGGTTAGAGACCGACGACCAGGTCATAAGTCGAAAATGCGAAAATAATACAGGTACATATAAAATCTAAAATGGGTGTCTCTTTTTCTTCTCAGCACCACGAGAACTCTCACTTTTACGCTTGCCAGCCATCTTAAAGGGAATTAAAAATGAAAATTTTGTCAGTTCACAGTACGATCACTAACGTCGGGACTCAAAAATACATAGTAATTTGAAAAATATTTTATACAACTGCGGCGGTTGTATGTCCGGGTGGTCGTAAGTCGAGTAGGGTGTAAGTCGCGGAGTACCTGTATATGTAAAATCACTTAATTTAAGACAAAAGAAGAAATAGAATGACAAAATACAGTAAATGAAAGTATAAATATAAGTCATCAGGTAAATAAGATACTGTAAATTTCAAGTTTAACCCCATTTGTATCGGCGAGCATTCGTAAGTTGGACATTCGTATGTCGGGGACCCCCTGTACTGTCAATATAAAGGGATTACGGGCTGAAGAGCACTGGAGGTGAGTTATCTTCTTAGTCCAGCCAGCACCCCTTCCCTCTTCCTCTGTCACCTGCTACCTCTTCTTCCAGCCTCTGCATCCAGGCATTTTTTTTTTATCGCGGGTGTTACACTTAGATGAAACATTAGCAGAACTCTGATCTGCAACTTTGTTTCTATAACATCAGACCTATGGACTGTTAACATGTGTAAATTAAACAGATACAGGACAGTATTCCCATAACTAACACCATGGTCGACCTTCATGAATTATACTCAACCAAGAAACTGTAGTTTCATATACATACTTGCATCACAAAATAGAATGTTTAATCTACAATAAATTATATCCTCTTTTTAGAAATTTGGGTCATGAGCACATTTGCACATGTCCCAAAATATGCATACATGATAATTTCAGATATCTGGGTATTTTCCTGTTAAATCTTTACTTACAGCAGATTATTATACAGATATTCTAGACCTTAAGTTTATAAAATGTGTTAATGTTACCATGATTTTTTTCCTATTTGTTCATTTTCTTTTCAACCAACTTTCAGATAGGATGGACTTGCTCTGTGATATGCCTAATATCAATTTTTGTGTATCTCTTTTGTATCTTTACTAACTTACTGGGAAACCTGAAAGTAGTTGGTGCAATTCTTGATTCATGCACAGTTGGTGAATTTTGTTGTAATATTTCTATGTAGGGTTTTTATAATTACTATTTAACAGCCACAGAAAGACAGAGTACATAGAGTGTTCATTTTATAGTGGGGACACAGCCTTGTACCAGGGACCATTTTCATCTTAACCTGGAACATAACTGATAGTGAGACATTTATATTTTTATAGTGATGTATAAAATGATATACAGTATAGTTAAACTTTAATATTTGAAGTTCTGGAGGCTTTTAAAAATTTAAAGAATTTTATTTGAACTTCTCAGTTTTTCAGAATCTCATACATTTAAGGCAGGTAGACAAGGATTTAAAAATATATATTAAAAGTAAAAAGTGGAATAAATGATAAGATAATGACTTAAGGTTACTTCAGATGAAGATATAGTAGTTCATTGTTATTATTACAGTAACCTCAAGTTCTTGTCTTATTTGAATAAATATTCCATTTTCAATAAAGAACTAGCAATTTTGCCTTTTGCTTTGATATACTGTACTGTAATTATATGAAATTTAGAATGACATCTTGACCATGATCTACTTCAAAAGTCATATTTATGATTTAAACAAATTGACCTTTGTGTCACTTTATATACATACTGCCAATGTCATGTTATTGGACAGATGTCTTCCCTTGAAGCTCATTTATCTACAGAAATATTACTTTGACTGTGTTTTTCATGTACATGTTTCTATGCCTGTGTATATCTGCACATAGTCAAAATGACTATTTTTTAACTTAACATAGAATAGATTTTTTACTGTTAAGTCTGATATGTGCATTAAACTGCATGAAGTGGATGTAAAATGAAGACAATTCATTGAATTCTTTTTTCACCTGCAAAAAATTATTGTGTACAATACAGCATTTCATGTTTTATTGCTGCATTCTGCTTAATGTTCCATCCTTTCTTGTGGATGATTAGTTCTTCATTTTAAAGAAGTAAAAGATATTTGACACATAGTAGATTCTTTCATATTCAAAATGCTACAAGACACACGATAGTTTTCTGCTTTGTCTTCTAAATTTAGGTTGTAAAAAGATCCAACATCTTGCTCATAGAATTTATTTTGCTTAAATTTACTTATTCTTATCTTCATACTCTTGTATTTAGTATTTTCAGTTAAACTCCTATCTGTGAAACTAGAAGGGAGCATAGGATTAATAATGTTTTAATCTACTTTATACACAGTACAGAACTCCAGTTTGCATGGAAAATCATAGTAGAGTTACTATTCAGGTGATCTGTTGTTTTATTGGATAAGATAATATTCCTGTCATTTCTTTTTAATAAAACTCACATTAATACATCTTTGTGTAAATAGAAATGTAGATTGTATATACTATATATAACAAAGAAAATAAGTTTTTATATTAAG